GTACTTGACCTTACATTCGGCGTAGTCACACCATCCATCACTGATTCCGCTTCCGATGAAAGCTAACCAGCCCTGATTCCAGACTGCTCGGGCACCGGATCCTCGGAGAACTGGTCCCTTCGGAAGAGTGGTGTCTGATTTCTCAAGTGTTTCCGCCTTTGGGTTTGGGACGGCACTCTCGACAGCATCTTGGACTTCAAGGACTGTTTCGACTTCCTCTTCGGCCGCGTCAGTGATCTCTCCTCTGCGAACCATTTCCTTGCGATCCTTCAGTGGGAAGGTGAACGGTTCAGGTACGTCGATGCGAATGACTCTTTTGATCTGATGCATATCCTCGTACTTATCTGCTTTGGCCGACTTGAGATCAACTACGAAATATTCTGTCCTCCATTGAAACCCTGGGTGAACGATGTAACCAACGAAGACCCCTGCACTTGATGTGGGATCGAACCTCAGCTCATCTTTGGGTTTCTTTTTGGGACCATTCCAGTAGTTCACCATGCATCCAAAAGGCCAACCCTTAATGGGTGATTGTTCCCCGAATCTCAGCTCCCATGGAGAAGCAGTTCCATCTAGAGCATACAAATTGTTGTTCATGACACACCAGTGACGAGCAGCATAAGGCCAGAATCCGTGGTTGAGACCGGATTGCAAGAGGTTCACACAAGTTCCTTCAAGCACGGTTCGGATCGACCTTTCCGCAACGGCATTGCTGGCGGATATGTATGCCTTTGATAGTACATGTCTCCACTTCAGCTCTTTCATGGCATTGATCAATTCAGGAGCGTTGTCGGAATAACAAATTCCCACTTCATCTTCATTCGAAACAAAGTGTTTCATAGCCAGAATGACTGATTCGGCACTCTTTCTAGCACTGGGGTACACGTACATGAAGTTGGAATATATGTCTTTGACAATCAATGCACACTTCTCTTCATCGATCCCCATTTCATATTCATCACCGGTTATGAGAAAATCACATGTAATATGATCACCGAACTTCTTGGCTTCAACTATTGAGGACCCGTCTTGCCGATATGATGGAGGCTTAGTCATTTTTGCTTTGTTGCAAGCGTCACAATATGGGTTTTTGGGGTGATGGCTCACCAGATGCCCAAGTGATTTGTGATTTGGCCTCTTTCTTCAACAATGATATCCCCTTTCCCAGATTCCTGTCCAAGTTGCCTTCGGCAGGTACCTGCAGAACACCATCATCAACATCATCCATCGGCGAGACCTTCCGGTCCGCACTGCCCTTCGGTGCTTCTTTCTCTTTCTCCGGCGTAGCCTTCCGGCCCGCTTCATCCTTCTCTGGGCTCTCTTTCAACACATTCATCCCGTCATCACCCGAGGCCGATGCCGGTTCAGCAGGAACAGCTGTACCACGTCCAGGAGCTATGGGATGAAGAGACGTTGGAGCCAATGAGGAAGACGAAGTCGAGCGGGGCCGATCGATTGGATTGGGAGCGCGCGGATTGGCATTTGACTTGGCCCTGGCAGGAATGTAGGGGACGTAATCCCTGACCACAAGCTCTATCTTTTCTCCGTCCGGCTTCCTGAAATAGGGTGGTTTGCCGGATCTCCAAATGAAATCATAACCTTGATCAACGCATCTCATTCCGACAGACATGACCGGTGGTGTCGACTCGAGCAAATACGGATCAAACCTACAACTCAATGTGTCGTTATACACCTTGGCCTGAAGGTTCGACGAACTATGACCATTAGCTGTGATGATAGCAATCGGCCGGTCCGATCGATATTGGAATTCATCAGGGATGTCATGTCGGGTCAACAGGTCCTGAGCGCTTCCGGTGTCTGCGATCCAGTCCTCATGCGAATGGTGGAAGTATTTGACTTCCCTCGGAGAGGACGCGGGCAAAGCAACAATATCAGCAGGAATGCACGAGTCACAACCTAGGTCTGAATCACACATGTACGTACAGTCTGTTTTGATACCCTTCAGCCAACCGGACACTGCTCCCTGAAGCATGCGTGCTGTCAAGATCGAATCATCAACTGCTTGAACGTTAGGCTTGGTCTGATAGCTTGCTGGGAAAGTCTTCTTCGGTTTAGATGGTTCCGAAACAAAAGGATCAAGTCTGCCCCATGCATGAATCCTTGTGATATCGGGCTTGAGGTTAAATGACACCCCTGGACATGCAATGTGTGGCTCGCCTTCCCAGGCCGCCTGGCTCTCATTGAAGTTGATTCCAATCTGGTCCAACATGGATGTTGGGCCGCTCAATGAGAGGCCATCGACGACGGATGCGAGCATCGATGCAACCAGACAAACTGCTGCGGGAGTGGACTTGCCTGCGCTGCCCCTCGAACCACGAGAATCCTTTGAGGACCTAGAGCCTCCAGACTTACGCGAACCACTGGAGCCCCTCGACTGAGATCGGTCTCCCTTCTTCTTTCGACGTTTGTCTTTCTTGCTCTTGTCACTCTTCTGAGAATCTCGTGAGGGCGATCTTGCAGGAGTTGCCTTCCTGGGTCGTTGCTGACCTTCATGGGAGAATTCACACTTGTCCCCTCGCTTACAGCGTCCAGCCTTCCAAAACTTGCATGCAATCTTGGAGGTGTCCCTTTTCTCCTTTCCTCTTGACTGGGAGCGCCCCCTAGGACTCTTGGTGGCACTCTTCTCCCGTTTCTTAGGAACTTCATGCTTGAATGGGCAGTTCTCCTTGCTACAACCCCCTTTGTTCCACTGAACACAAAACCCCCTGGGGATGAACGGTGTGCGCGCGTCGGCAGCAGGGGCGGACGTCTTGGCACCTCCAACACTAGCGGCAATCCGTCCCCGATTGTCCTCTAGCCTCTCCCTCATGAGATGTCTGCGAACAGCGTCGTACAGGAATTGATAGCAGTGCTTTGAACTTCCCTCTTCGGCCCGGTGGTACTCCTCAATGTCATGGGCGATTGCCCTGTGATTCTTCACTTGTTGGTAGAATAGAGTTTCCAGGACAGTAGTTTCAGGCAAATGGGTAACACCGGTGGTAACTGAATCCCAATTCGATAAACACGTTGAACAGATCACTGAGGGAATAGGTGGCACCATGCTTGATGTTTGTGCTGAAATACTCATGCATCATCAGCAACACCTGTCTCCCCCGTACCGGACGATCTTTCTGGGATTCTTTCTCCTTGAATGTGTCCACCTTGCGAGCGAACTCACCTGTGGCGACGGACGACAGTGCGGCAAGAAGCTTGGCGTCGAGGGTAGTAAACCCGTCAGGACTTGCCAGACCTTCAATGGTTTGACCTTCAATCCATACCTTATTGATCCACGAGAATGCTTTATCGGGCTTGGAAGACGCGGCCCTTACCGCATCCCTCACCCTGATTTTCCAGTTGCGATAGTTCTCAGGCTGTGGAAAGGAAGGTATCTTGATGTGGTCAGCTTCCTTCGTGGTACTGCTTTTTCCCCCCAAAACTTGTTTAAGCTTCCTCATAAGAGCCTTGTCTGTCAATTCATCGTCGTCATCGTCAAACTCATCTCCTCCGTCTGGATCGCTGTCATCCCCCGGAGGTCCAGGTGGTCCACCCCCCGACTTAGGAATCTTGAGAAGCGGAATGCCTGGACGCCCAGGATGAATCGGGTCACCTGATGAACGACCTTCACCAGGATTGTCTCCTCCCCCTCCCGGCGGTCCACCACCACCATTACCTGGCCCGCCCCTTCCGAAGTTGCCCGACAATGCATGTGCTGCTAATGACCCGTACCCATCATTCCAAGGACTCACCGGTTGGAAAACTGCAGCGTTAGGGGAAAATACGCTTCCGGGTTGAGACTTAAGGGATGAAGTACCGAACAATTCAGCGGTTCTAAATGATCTAACATCATCGTGCTGGGACAAACCTGCAGGTGGTGCCTCATGCATTGGTATGGACTCACGAAGTTCGGCAGCTCCTTCCGGAATGCCCGGCGCATCATCCTTCCGTTGCTTCATTTCGCGAAGTTCCTTCAGGAGTTGTGCCTGGATTGATTCCGTCTCAGTTAGCCGCCTTTGCAAATCCATAGACGCTTGTTGTTGCTGTGCCAAGTTCATTTCGAGGGATGAGACCTTCTGACTCTGCATCATTTCGATTCCAGCGATATGCTGACGGTGATTCATGGACATTTCCATGAACTGAGTCTGAGCCTGCTCTTGTAGTGTTTGATATCCAGCTTCGGCTGCGGTGATGAATAACTTCGCCTGGACCCTCATCTCCTCATTTTCAGAGAACGCTTCATCAGCCTCGTTTCGGAGTCTCTGTGCTGCGAGCATTAGTTCTGCTCGTTGCCCCTCAAGTTGCTGATTTTGCGAAGCCTGGCGCATCATCTCCGCGAGTACAGCCGGAGGCGTGCTCACAAAGGAAAAATTGGCCTGATTGAACACCGGCGCGGTGTTCCCACCCGCTCCCCCTCCGTCAGTTGACATGTTGGATCCTCCGTCTGGTGTGAACGAGACGCCCGGATCCATCAACGGTAGATGGAAAGCGGCGGGGTTTCCACCCGCGCTCTCACGCCCATCCGCACCATTGTACGGCGCAGCCAGCCTCGCGAGGGCCCCTGGATCCAGAGATAAGTCCATGGCTGCGAATGACGCGGGAGCAATACTACGGGCCTAAGGCCATACGGCTGATAACCTATGTTTACAGGAAATCAGCCAATAACGCCCACCTTTTTCTTGAGCCAAAGAGCGATGGTCGCGAGGTATATTATACACAGTATACGTGGAACACTTAGTAAAAACATGGAGAAAATATCGGGGAAGGACCTGCAGGTGATTGGTGGACAAAAATGAGGAGAACACATTTATAAGCCTATAATTACACCAATGAACACACCAGGTCACCAGCTATTTCTGCAGGTTTCCCTTCAGGAAGGAATCAACTCACTTGGGGAAAGATTTGGATACAGCATCAAAGGCCAGCTGCAATCCACAGGTGCCCCATCTAGGTTTGCCCCATCTAGGTGTCCCAATTTGGTGTCCCAATCCTCTCCAATCCGCCGCCTTGTTGGCCAAGTCGGACAGGGCCTTCGGCTCCACACCGACCTCGAACGAAGCCACGTCCGCAGCTGGTTTGGGCCGCCCACTAGGCAGTCTGACCACAACAAGAAGTAACACCCAACCGGAACTGGAAGACCAAGGTTAGCCGCTAACCAAGGTCCTCCATTAAACAGCACCAAAGTGAGGCCAGGAAGCAATGATTCTGGCCAAGTCAGCTTTGTTGATGCGTTCCCTTGTGTTGCCTCATTATGTTTTAGGCTTCTCAATCGAGTTGGTGTTACCTGGTGTCCAGTGTTGGACAAAGGCCATAGGCCGGACGGAAGATCCAATGGATTCCAGGCACCTCCACAAGTCCTTCAAGTCCACAAGCACCTCCACAAACTGGGTCCCAGCTCGCGCACGCCGACTCCACAGGTACCCTCTGAGCCTCCCTACCGTGACTCCGCCCCGCACGGCGAGCTCCGGACTGAACGGCGAAGCGCGCGCGGTGGTTTCGTGCTCGCTGCGACTCGCAGCACGTCTGCACACTCAGTTCGGGGGAGAAACACCAAGTCAAGCAAAGTCAGCCTACTTCGAAACCCAGTCACTAAAGGGTCAGCGGAATTCTTTCCATCGCCGAAGCTTGGCCGAAGAATTGGTGGTATGACCGGTCACTACAGTGCAGCTATTTTTGCTTCATAATCTGTGTAAACAAAGCCAAGCCACTGAGTTTCCCAGTGCAAGCTGGAATTCAGTGATGAAGTTTGATACACACCAAACATGCTGGCGGCTGTGAAAGAAGCACACTGTCATCTTAAGCATTCCAACATATTCCAACCATTCCATATCATTCCTTCCAAAGCAGTCCAAAGCAGGGGTTGTAAATACATTCCATATCATTCCATATTCACGGTGGCTTTGAGTTCCAATCGCTTCAAAAAAAGAGCCGAACACTCACTGAGTGTCCAACGAGCCGAAGCCGTAGGCGCAGCGGCACACCTCAGACTCTCCAGCTCTGTTGGGCTGGGACGCCTTCTTGGCCATTGCCAAGCTCTTGTGAGGAATATGATTGGATACCGAGACCGCAGCAAATATGATGGGAAACAACAGCGGCAGCAGCAACAACAGCTGCTACTGCTACTGCTACTCCTACTACGACTACTACTACTACTACTACTACCACTACCACTACCACTACCACTACCACTACTACTACTACTACTACTACTACTACTATAACTACGACTACCACTACCACTACCACTACTACTACCACTACTGCTACTACTACTACTCCTCCTACTCCTACTCGTACTCGTACTCGTACCCCTCCTCCTCCTCCACCACCACCACGACGACTACTACTACTACTACTACTAATCTGCCACAAACACATCAACACCCATGTCAAAACGTAGCATGAAACATCATGAAACACATTGAAACAACAACACATGCTTCTTCGTTTTGAGGCGATCTCACGGAGTATCTACTGAATATCTGCCTCTTGCGTCACCCTGCCTGTAGTGCCTGCTCAAAGGCACCCGCATTGAGGCACCCTTCCTTGGCATGAAGAATGTGTACACAAACGACTGGTTGGTTGATGGGGTAAACGAGGAACTATCTGAAAGTATATGAATCTGTCCGACAAACTGCAATTCTGCTTGACTGGATGACACGTTTGCGCTCTACTAATACTAGTAGGAACTCTAGTAGGACCCAGGGCTATTCTGTCAAACGAGAGTGGGTTGTGACCAATTTTTCTCCAAGGAACCACCAAGACAGTGTGAGCTTTGCGATCAGGCAGCCGACCCAACTCACCTCACAGGTTTGAACGGTTTGTGGTCCGAAGCATCTCAAGTTCCTGCGGTCTGCGAATTCTCAGACTCTCCCCTGATGAAAGACAAAGCAACGGAGAAACTTGTGTTCTCATAATCAATGATCATCAATGATCAGAATATGTAGCGATATCAACAACGATGTCTCTGGCAAATGAAAATGAACCAAAGGAATGTACTGAGGTCTGGTTGGAGTGACACTGCTCAAATGTCAGACTTAGAGCAAAATAGCTGGAAGTGGTTGGAAGTTCCCATATTTAGAACAAATCCATGGCATTCCATGACAAACAAATCCAAGAACCCTACGAGGAGATTTGGAGGCTATCTAGTCATCCTGGAGTAGTTTGCCTCAACTGGCCTTACATTCAACCAATGAATTTAGGTTCAGACGAACTTGGTGTACAATGATGCACAATGGACCCATTTGTTTGCTTGTTATAGCCCCAGGCACCAATCATCTCCTTGTAGATGTCAAGTGCCTTCTGAACTTTCCTCAGTCCACCATGGTCTCAAATGGATTCGTGGACATATTTCAGTTTACGTTTCGTCCTGGTCGTATGCATGAAATTGAGTTGCTCAAGTTTTGTGCCTCCCTCTTCTCGAACTGCCCGCTTTGTAAAGTGTATGCAGCTAGAATTGGCCAGGATTCTTGTTCAGCAAGCAAGCTTGCATCAAGCAAGTAAAGACCTGCACGTTGAGCTTGAGGTTGAACTCCTGCACTTCGTTGGTGCCACATGGCTGGTGGCTGCACAAAACTTGTTCGAAAATTGATCGAAACAAAGACAACTATGGCCGACTTAGAGATGGTCAGACAGTTAGCGACAAACCAGAGGTTATGGACTTCCATCCCTATCCTTGCGGTAGTCATTGGCCAGCTTCAGTGCTTCATTCAAGCGTTTTGCACGACCCAAGAGCTTTACCATGATGCTCAAGGTGTAGTTGGACGGCTGAATTCCCACACCTCAGGCGGTAAATCTGTGTCCAAACCAAATCTGGACAAACAACTAGCAACATCTACATATCAATAATCAGTCACTTGGTCTTGGTCCTGTCACTTGGCACGGAACGGTCCTGTCACTCAACAAAAATTGGCACCGAGGCACTGATCATGTCCTGCAAATACCTTGGGATGACTGCTGTTGACTCCGGTCGCTCCGATATTAAAAGCCGATTGCTATTGTTCGCTGTAGTCTGTGTTCCCTGTTCTTTGCTTTACACATTCTCACTCACAAACTATGGAGAGAACACCTGTCTGCTCCATTTTCAGGCTGTTGGGGTTTGCACATGTCGATGCTGCAGTTGCGAAACACGTGAAATATTGATTGGTGCCCAATGAGCAACGAAACATCACGAAACCAATCCGAGTGCAAGATACTCCATAGCCTTCTGGGGTTTCTGCTTTCGGCTGCAGCCATCAAGCAAGGAATTGTAGACCTCATGAAAAACGGCATAAACACAAGTGCACGTGCAGGGAAGCAAATCTGGAATTGGACAAATAAGACACTCAAGAAACATCAAGAAACCAGCTCTGTGTGTTCGACTCGACGTGACTCGACACCAGCTGTGCGCATTCTCTGCCTAGCGGTACTCTCTGGTTCCTGCCTGCTCACTTTTCTTTCCCCCGCCTTTCAGCCCATTATGCTTTAATGAACACATGGGCCGCTCTTGTGGCCGGCTGGTCGCCAGCCCACGAGGCACGGCCTCCTAGTTCCTTTGGTGGCAAGATCTGACTGAGTTGCCGAACAATTTCATCCAGGTCGAGCTTTCCATCTGCTTTCAGCTCTTCAAAAAGCTTGAAAGCACAATCCAGCTCACCTAATCAAGCGACTGGGACGGTTCGATCGGAGTTTTAGCCCAGTACATCGACACGGACGGATGTATCTCTATGTATCTCTATGCCACTATGCCTTCGGTGAATCATGTCGGAGTATGATGACCATTGACCTGCTTTGTAGATATGGGAAGCACAGGGCATCTGTCTCGTTTCATGGCCTGCCACACAGTAGCCCTTGATCAATGTAGAGTAGGTGATGCGGTCTGGCTCCACATCACACTGCCTCAGGGCAAGCACTGAGATTGGACTTAGATGGTAATCTCATCCAAAGAAACAGTCCAGTACCAGGTCTTTGAGTTGGAAAGCTGGAAACCATGGACGGACAAACACCGTTTCTATATATGTCTTCCCACCATTATCAACAATTCTTTTGAAGCCTGTCCACCACCAACCAATTGCCACATGCTTCTCCGAATATTCCGTGCCTCATCTTCTCAAAGATGGCGGGCACGCGTGCCATAGCGCTGCACTTTGCGCAAGCATCCAGCAAGGTGTTGTAGGTGATGGTATTGCCAGGGATTCCTCAAGCATGCCGCGATCAGATTTCTGGGGGTAATGACTGACTGTTCACACCTGAAGATCCTCTCCGACTGCAAGAATGCCCCAAATGACATCCTTCCACATTGCTGGCTCTGCTATTATTGCTTCATGGTCATCTGACAATGGCCTTGGGTGAGTGTAGTTTGCGACAAACGCCCTACAACGACAAGCAATCATTCTTTTCCAAACACCTTATATATTTATAAATATTAGATACATAGTTATATATAGCTACAACCGTTGCTGTCAAGTCTTGCCTGCGAAATCACCTCAGAACAGTGCTGTTCTTTTTTTGTTTAACCTGAGTCCTGTAGCATCTCACCCATGTTTCCGAGCAATCTAACTGTTCAACGAGTTTCATCGATGCGTCCGAACAGCAGCTCCAAGCAGCCAAGAATCCTTGAGCTTCCATCTCCTCCAGGGTGTTAAAACATTTCTCCGCCTGCTTGGCCTGGGCGAATCCCTTGATGATGGAGGAGTAAATGACCTGAGCGCACTGGGCGCCCACCCAAGGGTCATCTGCCGATCCTTCGCAGCGTCCACAGTGTCGACAGCAATTTGGAACACCAACTGAGACCTGAGACTTGGTGAATATTGGTATTCATGCCGGTGAAGAACAATAGGTTTGTCATGGTTTGTCTCCGTATTCCAGCTGTTTTGCAGGATTCTTGGTGCTTTCTGTCGCGTGCAAGCGACCGACAGACCTTCGACCCCTCCGGACGGAGAGTTCGAACCGACCGACGACGGACGGTGGAGAAAACCGGTAGATCTGCCGAACAGTCGTCGGTCGGTCAAAAAAGAAACAACCGGTTCCGTGGACAGGAAGCGTTGCGCAGTTTTGATTCACACACGCCCATCCAGCTTTGAGCATCCTTTGTTCGGAGGCATGCGCTCTGAAAACAAGCTGCCGTGTTTAGGAT